GCTGATTTCTTTAATGGAAACATCATCCTTCACAATGTCAGGATAAAACATGGGAATCTCTGATCTCATGTGCCAGATGTCACATTTTGTGACACTTTTAAACCTTGAAAGCCATTATAGTTTTGGAAATCCCTATGAACCAAGGATGGTGTGCTTTGTTCAGTGGTGGTTCTTCTTCTGTAAAAGGCTTTTGGTACTGAAATGCTGTCAGTAATCACAACCCCTCTGGAAAAAGAGTGTCAGTCTACACTCATATATTGACGCTTAAATAATGACATGAAGTATTATATGTTGACTTAAAAAATGTAGTAGCTGTCTTGATTCTTGCTTCAGAAAATATTTAAAAATCTCTGATTGTAGTAAGTGTGGTTTCTTTGAAAAATAAGCTCCTGTAATTTGCTGTAGCTAGGTTTTTACTGAAAACTGTGAATTGAACCTTGGACTCCATATTGTTCTAGAACACTGCAGTAGTCAGCTTTGCTTTCTGCAGGCCTACCATATTGAAGACTGTCTCTGATACAAGGTGGTTTCCAGTAATTCTTCACTGATGTCAATTATCCCGGTGCCCTGAAGAAACAGTCATGCATCAGGAAGCCATCGTGATAGACAAAGTCACACAGCAGAGAGACAAACCAACTTAAACTGGAGAAACAGGAGACAACAGATGGATACAGTTAGACAGCAAAATTCAGGGAAACAGTGAGACAGTACTGAGCCAGAATATCACTAAGCTACAGTGAGCACATCAGTAGCCTGTTTTTTCAGCTATCAGAGGAAAGAGGAGTCTTAAGCAGGAATTTGAAGGGAGATAATGAAATAGCTCTTCAGATGTTTACAGAAAGTCCCTCCCAGGCATGAAGGGAAGTGTGGGTAGAACATGGAGGCATTTTTTTGAATATTTGTCATGTGGGGGTGAAGGCTGGTATTGTGGGTTATCAGAGAGGGGATTGCATCTCTCTAGTGCATCAGAGTTACAGCAGCAGAAGAACATAAGGAAATTGCTTCAGCCATCACTTTGTTCCTTGGAGTTCTTGGGCTGCGTTATCAGTAGTTTGCTGTTGTTTTGGTAGGACAAGTAAAAGAGAAGAACAAACCTGGTAGGAGGGTTGTTTACCTATTGAAGTCAATGATGTAGGAGTTTTATAAGGAACTGGGAGGGATTCAGCTCCATTAGCTGTATGTCTCATTCACTGTATCCAGAACTTAGTATGATACCTACATATGAGTCTTAGTAAGAACTGAATACCAAGGATATAAAATCTGCTACTGGGTGAAATCCCTACTCTTTTGACAATGGTAAGAGCTTTGCCACAAGCTTCAACCAGACTAGGACTTCACTTTTTGTGCTCTATGCAGTACTTTATATCCAAGCATTTTGTTCAGCTTGCAAATGATTGTAGGAAATTAAAATTTCCTACAATTTCTTGAAATAACTCCCCTATCCATCTGTTATTCCACTAATATCCCAGATAATATCTTACAGTAAGTCCCAGAGAGGCTGGAAAAAAAAGGTTATCATCACTTACTGGTGGGTAGTGAAGTACAATTTAAGCATTAAACTTTTCTAAGGGCACCTACACCCTGAAGTAAAGCACAGCACAGAGATCCAAGTCCAAGAGGGGTGAGCAGGTATCTCCACATATCACTGTGCAGTTCCTTATGGAAGATAATAACTTGGGTCTCAAAAGCAGTTCAGCTGCCTTTGTCCCTGAGACAGTGTCCCCTGGTTTAGGGACAGCCCCATGTTAGTGCAGTTGCATTGCCCAGAACTGGAACAAGCTGGTTTAGTGCTTATTGGGCTGGTTTGGTACCACTGTACTGCAGAAATGTACTTTAAATAGAAAATATTTTTACCATCTATCTGTAAGATGCTTTTTAATAATGTGCTCTGATATTTTCTGTGATGTATTCTGTTTTGAAGAGCTTTTCTTTCTGTTTCTGAGCTAAGAAGTTGTGCCAGAATAAGTGAGAGCACTCCTAAGTCTGGAAATGAATACATGTGGAAAGAACAACTCATTATTTGAATAAGTTTGCCTGAAGGGTCAATTTCTAAACTTTTAGTAAAATTCCATTCCCTGCCTTCATGTTAATTAAATTAAAACTGGGGGGATAGGAGAGCATAGCACAGTAATGTCATATATCTGGGGCACAATTTAGGAAACAAAAAGTCTTCTTACCCCCCTTGGCCTGGCTTGTCTTTTTATTGAGTGCTGTGAGATTTCATTTGCAATAATGAACTGCTTTTATGCAAAACTTTTCAGTCCTACCAAATGAAAAGGGGAACATGTTGACAGGAAACAAAAATTGCATAATCTCTGCAGAAGTCTATGACTAAATCAGTGCTCTGTTCAACCCTGTGCCTTTTGATATGGCATCAGAAGGTTTATTCCTTTCAGTGACTTGAAGAAAAGAAGGTTCAATTCCTAAATGACCACTGCCATTAAGGAATAAGGGTCACATTTATCTTAGTTTTAAATTATTCCCATACTAAAATGGGATTAAATAGTACATGTTTATGACATCCAACAAAATCTTTCAGGGAGATAATGTTATCCTTGGAATCGGTCTTTTCAAGCAGTCTTGTGGAGTGGGTTAACACAGTAACAATATTTCTCCACCTTTTTCCCCATATCTCTTTCTCACACTTGGAAGCAGTGACTTCTGGCTGTTCTATGCTGGACCACATGCAGACACAGCAGGAGGTTCTTGGCTTCTCTGACTGCATTTGCTATCCAAGCAACTGCTCCTCACTCCCTCAGAGGAAGACACAGTGGGCAAATAGATATATTTTGCAGGCCAGATGGGGCTAATGGACCACAAACTGGAGCAATCCGACCAAAATACATATTTAATTGCAGATTATTTCTTGGATTTCTGGCATGCACTGTTCTTGACTAGTTTCTGGTAACCAGATCTAGTTTTTGCATGTTTCAGCTCCTAATCATGTCAGTGATATTGAGTGGCACTCAGACTTCCCAGGAATTGCTTAATCCCTTCTGAGATCAGACATACATATTTCAGGTAGTCCTCAAGTAGTGCAGTTATGCTAAGTGGCACCCCTACAGTATATGACTCTTGTCACATCCACTGTGATCATTTCTAGAAAAATGTGTTTTGCTAGTTTGTTTTTATTTTGTTTGCTTGTGTTTTCACTTGTTTGCTTGTTTTTCACTTGTTTGCTTGTGTTTTTCAAAATGTTCGCTTTGTGTATCCAAGGAAAAGTTAGTGCTAGTTGTCCAAAATGCAAGGAATTTCCCTCAGGCCTGTGCTTTTGCCCTTCATACTTTTAGGACCAATTCCCTAGACTTCACCAGCTAGGCATGGCCTGCTCAAGGTAAAATGTATAAGAGGTATGCCAGGAATGATATGGGACCTCAGTTGCCTGTCTTTGATATCCAGTTGTTTTGTTATTGTTGTTTTGGTTGGTTTTTTTGTTTTGTTTTGGTTTGGTTTAGTTTGGTTTTGTGTTGTTTGTTTTTTGTTTTTTTTTTTTTTACATAGTCTGATATCCTAAAATTAGATCTCAGCTAAATCTGTTACATATACCTCTGAGACCCATAACATTCGTGGACTTCTTTCAGAGTGTTCTGTGCACCAGATTTATTTCACTGTAATGACCTGCTGCTGAACATTTCCTCTGTTGCTTATTTATCTAATAGATGCTCCTTCACCTCCTCAGTCAAATGACAGTGCAACATTTAGATCTCTTAAAGCAGCTGCTGCTGCACTCTGCACCAGCAGTGGTGTAATTTCATTAGTGGAAAATAAACCCTTGTTAAGCAAATGTGGTATAAAACATTATGTAACAGGAAACATTTGATGAGCAGACACTTAAAGTTCTGTTTCTATTGTATACACATGGCTAATTAAGTTTTTCTTGGCCCAAGTTTGCAAAAGAATTTATCTGCCCTAAGTAAGGAGTGGATTTGTTTTTCTAATATTCCCATCATGCTGGAACTAACATACCTGACATTGAAAAGCTTTGAGATTCTCCATGAGAAGGTTTGTAGAATTTTGTAGAGAAAGACAGAAATAAGAATAAGCATATTTAGGTACCAGATTGCTTAGTTATAAAGTTTTGTTACTTAAAAACATTTACTGCCATCATTTCCAATGCCTTCTGATAATGTCTGTGGCTGCGCAAGTGTTTTCTCCCTTTCTCTTCAGGCAGGACACCAAGAAAGGCATTTATAAGACAGGGCATAGTTAAGAATCACCCATCAGAAAGTAGGTATTAGCTGTGTTCAGTTAAGACATTGTAGGAGAAGGAGCCTAATATATAAGGCATCAAGCTGTGACCAATAGCAGAGGTCTGGAAAAAATTTCCTAAAAAGAATCATATTGGCCAAAGACACCCCAAACAAGATGTTGTCTTGACTGGTAAGATGATGCCAAGGATCAAACCACAAAACTAAAAGAAATGAGATCAGACTGAGAAGTTAAATTATGGCTACAATCCTGCCCTCAGAAGGAAATAATCAGATGAGGGTTGGAAGACTTTGTCTGGGAAAAGAGAAGTCCCCTCTGCCTTTAATTCTCTGGCTTATGTTGTAAAGGAGAAACTTATGTCCTTTCATTATGTAGAGTATGCACAATCTCCTAAATAATCTTTGAAAACAAGTGAACAAAATGGTTATAATAATGAGAGGCATGAGTCAAAGAGGAACAATTCGACAATTTTTCTCCCTCTTCAGAAAACCTGCATAAGATGAACCTCGCAAGCAGGCCTAGCCAAATTCTTTTCAATCCTGCGTAGACCCACCAAGTTGTTGTTTCTAGTGCAACACTTTCTTTGCCATCTAACGCCAGACACAAAGGGCAGAGAGAATTTGGTCACCTCCACTTGTTTGATTAAAAAATAGCTTTTCTAATGATGGAATGGGACAAGAGTTTTAATACCACCTGTACATTTCTGTGGTTTTAATTCCAGCTCTCTTTTCTTTTGCTCTCTCTGATTTTAGCAGCTTTCTCTAAAAGTGTCCTTTTTGCTCTTTATGCAGACTTTATGTGGATGGACCTTTTGGAAGTCCCTTTGAGGAAGCCCTGAACTACGAGGTCAGTCTCTGCGTGGCTGGAGGTATTGGAGTTACACCATTTGCATCAGTACTCAACACACTGCTGTAAGTGAGCTTAAGCCTTTTAAGGCCATTTCCCCCCAATTTAAAGTAGCAGTGCATGTCAGAAAAACTTTGAGAGTCTTAAAAAACTTCCACTGGCATAAGCAAATAATTCCTTGAAAAGATGTAGAGGACTGGGATGCCACTGAAGGGCATAAATTACCTCATACCTGATACTGCCTGTATAACCCAAAGAGTTGTGGCAGAGTTTTGCCAGTAATGCACCTGGAATGGGACAGTGTCACTAGCCTTTTTGTCCTTCCACCAGCCTAGCCTGTGCTTAACATAGTCACAGTCCTTGAGCTAGGCTTGTTCCCCTAGTCCGATCTTAGATGAGGCTGTGGACTATAATTGTGAGTTTTTGAGAGTGAGGCAAATGTGACAGTCCTTCTGCTCGAAGTGCAGGGCCAGCTCTCCTGGTTTGACTTTTGTGAATATGTAAGTTTAAGGTTTTAAAAGAAAGAGATCAACCTGAATTCAGATAGCATTCAGATGTTTAACTCCATTTGAAAAGTTTAAATTTTAGGTGTGCCATTTTCTTATTTTTCTTGTTTCTCCCTCTCTCCTTTTTAAAATTTTAATGTATAGCCTTTGACATTCTATGCAGATCAAACCTTTTGCCTCTTGTTTTTCTGTTGCACTGACAACATGGTTCCCACCAAATCTTATGCTGTGTGAAATAAGCTTGCTTTAGTGTTTGCTATTGATTTCTTTTTATTTGTTAGAGTATTGGCTAAGAGCTCCAGTCACAGGTTAAGCAACCCTGTTTCAAAGGCCCAGTATAAACAGCTAACAAAATCAGCAAACCTTCCCTGAGGTGCTGAGAGGCTAACTGGCTTTGAGAGGGTTTTAAAATGCACAACTAAAGCGTTTGTTCCAAGATGAACGTGCCAGTGATCAGCTGTAACTCTAAAGTGAAGCTGAAGTAAATTTAGATGTTGTGAACCTTCTTATGTCCTTAAAGTGGGCTGGACCTGACAGTGCTAAGTGCTACTGAAAGTTATTAGCCTCACCTGTCTCACAGTGCAGCAGACCTCAAAGAGCATTTTGTGCTTCCTCATTTTCTTTTCTTTAGAGTGTGTGGATCATTCTCTCAAAGACAAGGGTACATTTTTGCTGAAAGCCTAGGGCTCAGGTGGATAAAATTACTGTTTTCCTCGTGATGTGTTCCTCCTTGACAGTGTTAAGCAAAAATGTCACAGATCACAATGATGGGCCATCAGCAGGTAATGAGATGTTTACCTCTACCAGTTATCAGAGGATGTAGGAACTTGCAGAGACACTGCCAGAGAATTGTAGTGTCCAAAGGATTTTGCAATGTCCATTTCTTTGCATAAAGCCATAAATTGGCTTCCAAAGAGCCAATTCCATAACCTGCCCTTGTAACCACTCTTCCCCTTGTACACCATACAATATAGAGGAGAATCATTTGGGGAAGAAGGAACAGTCTTAGTCTACTTCCGTCCTCTGTATTTAAGCATCAACAAAGCACTGTTTTAGTGGATGCCCTGCCTATGTCTTTGCCCCAGCTTGGAGGCAGAAATTGGCAGGTGTGAACATACAAACTGTCTTACAATGCCAGCCAGAACAGCAAGGCCAGTCCTGTTGTGTCAAGGACATGCAGGTCTGAGGAAGTCTTGAGGTGATCTTTTGTCTTCTGCTCCATTGTGTTCCTCTTGTATGTACATAATTTGATTCCTGCTCCTGCCCTTCCCGCCACTTACCTGTTGAACCTTATACTCTATTTTAAGAAAATATGACGTACTTTAAGGAAAGCTAGTGGCTTTCATGCAGTAGGGTCTGTAAATAACAGCTTTTATTATAGGCAGAAGTAACACAGAAACATGCAAGAAGTATTATATTCCTGTGGATTTGGTTGTAATGGGGGATTGCACCTTTACTGCATAATATATCCTGCTGGAGGTAGACCAGGCATATGTGTCTGAGATGCTATTTTAAATCTATGCTTGACTTGTTTCATGAAGTCTTGCAGTCCAGCTGCAATGTTTCATCACCATGAGTGGTGTTTTTGCTCCATTTCAATACAAAATGCCTTACATTTTTTTCTTCTTTTGTCCTTTTATTATGGTGAAAGGCACTTATTTTGCTTGCTACTGCTTATAGTTCTGTCACATCTGACCAGACTGTGACCCTTCCTAAGGGCTTTTCTTAGACTAGGCAATCAGAAAGAGATGGAGGAAATCTTGTTTGGCAGGTCAGCAGTTTATAAATAAAAAAGTTGAAATCAGGACTTGAAAGACACTGTACTCCACAGCATTTTTTATTTTTTTTTACTCACTGTGGGGAGTTTACACAAAAGGTGAGTTCTCAGCCTCTCCATGCTGCTGAAGTGCTTCTGATGTCTCTATCCTTGCTCCTCAGGGCGGGGAGAGGTATGGGGAGGCAAAACAGTGGTTGGAACCATCACTTAAATACTATACTGTTCTAATTATATATATTCCAACTCTAGATGTTTGGAATAATGCATAACGCGTATGGTAAAGTGTATCATGAAAGTTTTTTGACCAGGTTTGGCTCCTATGACTAGCATTTGAAGTGAACAGCCTTCTCTATCTGAAAATTATTTCAGAGGAAAAGGAGGAAGCAATCTATGCACTAACTATTTCAGTGATTAGAACAACAGAAAACAGTGTTGGCCAACTAAGAAAATACTTCCCGAATATTTGTGCTTTGTTTGAACTCCTTAATCATCAGGTCATTTTTCATTTCTATTTTATTTCCCAGTTCATTCAAATCCTTCCTTTGTGCTTATTTGTGTTTTTATTGAATTATAAATCTGACATAAGAGTCCTGTTTTTGTAAATGCAATGCTAGAATCGGCCTATGGCTGCACTTTACCCACCAGCATTTCCTAAGGTCAGTAATATATCACACAGTCCTCTAACACAATGAAGCCCTGATTTAATTTGGTCTTTGTGATTTTGCTACTATTATTAATTATATTCAACCAGAGCCTTTCACATATAAAGGCAGAATTAAGTCTGACATTATTACGTTTGTCAATACTTTCCGCTTATGGGTCGCATAATAAACCTAGTAATGAATTGACATAGTACACTTGAACTTAGAATGTCTCCTTTTCCTTGAAATAAAAGTTTAGTGATGATACATAAATCCATATTTGCTGCCCAAATCATCTGTGTTGCTGACAACTTCTAGTGTGGAAACAGTATCTATGATGGCTGTTAGCTCTGTGTTAGAGATTTAATATTCTCAGAATCATCTGAATAGGCTGCATTGGTCAATTTAGTGTCTAATGTATCATAGCTTGAAGAACAATTTAGCAGTTAGTCTTTAATGGAAATTCATGTTTCTGTTAATGAATATAAAGCATATTAATTTATGTTTCTTTTTAAATGATAATTTTTAATTACCCACATATTTTATTTTCAAGGGATGGCTGGAAATGCTACAAGCTCAGAAGACTCTACTTCATTTGGGTGTGCAGGGACATTGAGTCTTTTCGCTGGTTTGCAGATCTGCTCTGTATGTTGCATAACAAGGTAATGGGTGTTTGGAGGGATACTGACAACTTAAATGCAAGGTATGTCCACACCACACAACTGACGCCCTATAGAAAATGGCAGCCTTGCTCAAAACAAGTGAGCTCCAGTGGTAGTTCTGCTTTGGCTGCCTGAGCCAGGCTCCAATTATTCTTGGAGCTGCTTGAAACAGTTTGAGTATCTATCACCAATATTTCATTGCACAGTGTTGCACTTATCTGTATCCATAATACTTTGTAAGATGGAAGAAGCACATGCAGGCTGGGAAGTCTGAGTGGCCTTTATGCATTTAGACTGTAGACAGATCAAGAAGGGAGGGGGATCTACAATTTCAGGTGGATTGTAAGAGCTGTGTAGCTTCCAAAAACCAATATACACAGCATGACGTGCAACATTCACAAAGGGGTGTTATGTAATCATATCTTCTCCATTAAAAGCTTACTTCACTGATGGTGAAACCTATATCCCTCAGCATAGTAGGCACAAGTGACTTCACACTTAGATTAAGACAAAGAATATTATTTCGCTAGCTGTTTTTATCATCCTTCCAGCTTTGGCAGGAGAATCGGCCAGACTATATAAATATCCAGCTGTACCTCAGTCAAACAGATGGAATACAGGTATGTGGCCAAGTTTTGTTTGTAAACTGAACTAGACCTTCGAGTAATAGGCAATGTAAACTGTCAGTCAAAGGTAGAAGGGGATTGCTGCAGATGTTAAAAACAGGAGATGAGGCCATAAACTCGTATGACTCATTCATCACTAGAGAAAGAGAGCCAGTCCATCCCTGCAGCATTACGAGAATCTAGTTTGGTACCCTTAACTTGATTAGGTGTAGGCAGAAATCCATATCTTCCTTTTCTAGGGAAGAGGTCCTGCCAGGCCACAGACCAGGCAGTTGAAAATATTTGTTGGGAAATCTACATCGTTTCTAAGAATCAAAACAGAGTAGTTCTAGGAACTTTCAAGCTCAACCTTCTCATATATATTTTGAGAGAAATTAGCTATTTTAAAAGGCTTTTTATTTCATTGCCTTAAATATAGACAGAAGGTAGAAGTTTCTTGATGTATGAGCCTGGAAATTATACTGAAATGTCAATTGTCATGTATTATCAAACCCCAAGCTGGGCTAATTCCCCAAATCTTGGCATCTCCTGTAACTATTTATGCTTGCAGTCTTCATTTTACATTATTTAGCACATAAGCCTAGACACAAGTCTTTACCCTGCTGTGTCAGGAAGCTTTTCAGTGACTGCAGGGGGCCCAGAACCAAGCCTAACAATTACTTTTCAAACATGAAATGCAGTGAGAAACCATGCCCAGAGGATTTTGATCTGCTTCGTATGAGGTGGAGATAACATTCACAGCTTTAGTAGGAACACTGGTCTAAATGATGTGATGATAGCTGCTGTAGTTACAACTATGACAAAATGCTGTCTGGACAACATATGTCAATTGAAATGGGGTGCTTGAAAATACCTAATTGATGAACCTGGTATGTAATTATTAGCTTAAAATTAAAAGTGGAAGCTGGACTGCAATGCGGTGAGACAGCAAAATTGAAATAATAGTCAACTCAAAGGAAGTTTTCTAATATTATTGGTCAAGCAGCTGCTGAATTTATTTAAATCAGCTTTTTAGTTGAAATCTTTCTTTAAAGACACTTTTATTTTTATGGCTATTGAACAATACTGGCATGAATCATAATTCTGCCCATAATTTCTCAAGGGGGAATTAAACTCAGCTCTCCATTGCTATACAGCTGATGTGTTCACTGCTGTTAGTCCAAAGTGCTGACTGCTACCAAAAATAGGGCAGTTTCACTTCATGCTCCCTTTGCAGAGAAGCCCTGTACCTGTGTGGTAAGAGGGAGCCAAGCCCACCCTGCAGCAAATGCCTCCTGTCTATAAAGGCCCAACAGTGGATGAGTTGGCCAAGGCTCTGTCTTTGCATTGGGATGAGCAATGTGCCAGGTTGTTCAGCAGAGGAGGGAATGTGGGAGCCTAGATAAGATTTAACTTCTGTCTGCCTTTCTGTCGCATTAGGGCAGCAAACCAAGGAAGGGCCATGCCCTGCAGTGGGAGGGCATTCCACCTTATCAAAATTCTGGTGAGTTAGCATTGCTGGAATGGATTTGGTTCCATTTGGGGAGCAGTTTTAGCTGCTTTCTGCTCTTATAGCAGTTCAAAACAGCTGGCAAACTACTCTCAGGGAGAAAAGTAAGATTTCCCTTGTTAGTTTTTCAGACCTAGTCATCTTAATAGTTACTCGTACAAAGTTAAAAAAAAGACTTCAGACAGAAATATGATTTTTGCATCAGCAGTGTTTCTTCCAGCTTAGAATTAAAAGCCAGTGAGGAAACAAGTAATAGAAGCATGGTTATTGTTTTATGGCTTAAATAAATTGGTTTAAAAGTAATGTGGAAATAAATGAGCAGCTGCATGAGGAACAATGTATAATGAACACCAAGGAGAGCCATTGAAAAGGTACTGAGCAGAGGTATTGGAGCATAAAATAGCTGCAGTTTTAATCACAACTGTTTGGTACTTGTGCTCAGGTTTTACATTTCAGCAATATGGCAAGTCAGCCAGTGTCAGAAATGGGAGCCCTGGGTGATATGAGGCAATTTGCAAATCAGGCAGAGTGGAGTTTTTTTCTTTCTTGCAGAAAATAATTGGTGAAAAATATCAAGCTTTAAACTCCAGGCTTTTGATTGGACGACCCCAGTGGAAACTCCTGTTTGATGACATAGCAAAGTGTAACAGGCGGTAAGTACTAGTGTGCTTGAAGGATGCCACAGTTTGATGGCTGGGGATATCTGTGTCTAGCTATGTTGTTATGAAAATATTTCTGGGTTTTATCATATAATGTAATATGGAAATTCACTAATATTTTGCTGTGAGAGGTAGCCTGTACAAACTGAAACACTTTTTTTTTTTTTACACACACGAGGCAGTTCGGCTTTTTATGCAGCTATGTTCAGTGGCCCAGGAAACAAAAGTAGCAGATTTTCATCTCACTACACAGAGATTCCCTATGATTTTGTCCGTGGAAATGTCTTGCTTTCAACATGTGCTGGTTTTATATATAAGATTGCATTTTTTTAAGTTGTTGGCTTCTATAATTTTCATGATTTATAGTGCTAGTTTACAAACAAGATTCACGAGGAAGAACTTGACTGACCTGTATTCTTTTTATTGAGAGGATACATTGTCTTTGAAGATTTTTGGCAGTTTTCTATTCTTTGTTAAGACCTGGCAATGCCTTTTTACTGTGCTAGGAAAACATATTAAGGTCTGAAACAAGACAGTTGTAAACCACAGAAGACATGCAATTAGACTATGGGATGTCTTTGTCCAGATCCAGCTTTGTTGGTTGAGTATTTTACCTCCCACTGGTAGTTTTTTGCCTCAAAAGCTGATCTGGTAGAAGGGATTGTGTGAATCTTCCCTAATCCACTTCTGGCAAAGTCTGTGGCATGGGACCAAACCACCCTCAGTAGCTGTTGATAGTAATCTAGGTGCGTCAGGTTGAGAAGTGCTTGCATGTTCACCTGCTAAACTTTCCCTCAAGAACTTTTTTCTTCTCTTGCACTTGCAGAGTGAAATCTGCCCATGGTTTATTGACTCTTCTTTTCAAATATGACTAGGGACACTGAGCCCTGATTCTTGAGAAATGCTAAGTACCAAATGTATCGCATTTGCAGTGTGAGCTGCTGACAATATTTTTCTTGGATTCAGGTCATAGAGGATGTTGTGGAGAGGGTCCCTTGCCAGGATGTCCCAAAGGCTGCTACAGAGGGACATCCCTGGTAGAATTCTCACACTTGGAGAAGGGTTTTAGAGTAAAGAAATATGGGAAAGAAAGGGAAATAGGTCATGGAAGCAAGTTGACTCTCTGGGCTCAGAGACCTCTGCATAGAAGACTGCCAATTTTTTATACTCTGTTATAATGTCTTTTTTTTTGTTTAACTGTGTGAGTGCAGTTTTAAAAGATGAAAATGATTGCAAGGCCATAAGTGCACATAATATAGATGAAACTATTAGTGGTAGTCATACTTGCTTTTTCTTTTTTGCTTTCCATTGCATTACTCCTAATTAGATTTCAAGTACCATTTCCTCTGCATTTTCACAGGAGGCCTTTAAATTGTGCCACCATTTTCAAACAAGGTGTCTTTTAGTACCTAAATAATGTTCTGACTCTTTTGATTACCTGCAGCTATTAAGATGTACTCTTTGTCACCCTTGGCCACCCTTTTATCAGGGTTTATACAGGTCTGTATCTGTAGGCGTAGTTACATGAAACATGATGCAGAGTAGTGAAACCTGTAACAACCTCAGCTGTCCCACAGAAATTTACCTATTGTAGGTAATTATTCTCCATATTTCCTTGGATGAGACAGAAACTTCAGTTTTTCTCTATAGTTCAATTTCTAAGTCTGCTACTGGCTTTATCTTAGTTCCTATTGCTCAGTAACTTTCCACCTAAGTGTCTCTGCTGCAATACAGAGAACAAAAAAAAACCCAAACAAAACAAAACAGGTCAATCAAGTTGTTTCCAACATCTGGTGCCAATGTTCAGGCTTTCACATTTGCAATCATCCCCTTGGGCTTGTTTATGGGCAGTTGAGATATTTTCCAGTTTTTATCTTGTGATTTTAGGAAAAGCTGCATATAAATAACAGGCAGCTGGCAAAGCTCTCACAGTGTAGCCGTTTGATTGCTATGTGCTTTGTGAGTTGTTGCTGTTGTTGCTGTTTGAGTCCCAAATAAGCAAAGTGCATTTGTAAGTGTCTGAGCTTTGCCAGACCTTCGGAGCATGACATGGGGCAACCCAGCACCAGGTTCCTGATCCTTTTTTCTGGAAAAGAGGAGCAGACGCATGCCATCTACTGTTGATATTTCATATGACACCTGCAGTCCCAGCAGTGTGCATTGGGACTGTTAATATAACAAATTAATGTTCTGGGGGTTTTTTCCCTGCTTTTTTGGGGGGGGATGGAGCAGCAGCCTTGTTCCTGATCAGTTGTGTTCTGGATGAAAAGCTGGCACCGTGTTCAGTTTTGCTTAGGTTAAAAGGGGGTGTCCTCCAAGTGGAGACCGACCTAGAAAAAGACATGAGTATCTGTAGGAGAGAAAGGCATGGAGTACCATGATACATTTCTCATGTGCTGTAAAGGATAAACCTCTCTCTAGAAATGAATGTGGGATTTAAAACAGGATCTTTTTTAAGTTCTGACTATATCTTCTCAATGTAGCAAAGCATTTCATCTCTCCCTCACCTCCAGCTGTTCATAAAATGGATGTAAGAATATGTGCTGACCTACTCATCCCATAGGAACACTGAAGCTTTACTTTCTTAGTGCTCTGAATGAGTAAAATCCTATATTGATGTTTATAATTATTGCAAAGAATGGCCTACAGCATAGATTCCTTAATTGTAAACATGTTAGTGGTATTTATAAAGATTTTCAGAGGTAGCACTACACAGCTGCCTGTTTTCTTCTAGCAACAAAGTAAGCCTTTGTCCCAAACAGGTGATGTACAATTAAAACCTATCAGCTCAGGGTAGTAAAACGCTGCTCCATGTAGTAGCATCTCTCAGCCACCTGCCTGCTTCTGTCACAGCAACTAGGCAGGAGCCAAGCGAGGCAGGGAGGAAGATATCTGCAAACAGGGAAGTGGGTGGTGGAGGAGGGGGAGAATGTGGGCCATGAACTGTGGGAGGCAAGTGGGAGGATGTCCAGAATACATGCTGATGTTGGGTGTCCTGGGAAGGAAGTCTGAGAGCCTCTGGCTACATGAGCAGTGGTTCACCAGGGTTTCGGAGACCTTATTAGCCACAGGTCTCTTTTGTGACTTTAGGCAAATCGTTTAATCTTCCTATGGTTCTAATTACTAGCCAAAGTTCTGTGCACCTTGGAAGGATGTTGCTGGGATGGGAATACGTTAGCAGTATGTGCTGCTAAGACATGTCTACTTTTGTGGCAATTTATATGTAATGAAAGGGAGAGGGGCAGCCAAACTCTTTGGGATTTATCAGTTGGTTGTACTAATTAGACTAATGAGAAAAAAAACCTGAAAACCAAACAACAACATTAATTCTCTCAATTAAATACGCAGTAGAAGACAGATTCTTGCTGGCAGCTCATGAATCCTTTTTCTCCAGTGAGCACAGATTAGAGGGAGTTCAGAGTCTACAGGTGCTGAGAAATCTTATTTGAGAGCAATGAACAATAGTGTTCTCATTATTGGTGCAAATCCAGCCACTAGCACAACACCCCTTGCCATTAAAAGGAGTACTGCTAGGACGGGAAAGCTTAAATGATATATATATATATATAGATATAGATATAGATATATAAGGATGAGAAAAGAATGAGTTATAAATATTTGCCATGGATTGATTGAGAGAGGATGTAATTGAAGGCAACTAAAATCAGCATTGTAATGTACCTGCACAAGGACTCCACTACAGTTAGCTACCTAACTTTGTGATGCTTTTTAATGTTTGAGTCTGGAGTTGTACAATGCCGGTGTTGCTGTGCAGTGGTACGGTGTGCACTGCAATGCTGTTCGAGCAGCTGCCTGACATCAGGCATGTAACTGGACAATATGCATCAAAGATTTCTTCTTGTATGTGTTAATTCCCTTCTCTCACCAAATACATGCACAGGGAGCTTTAAACTGCGTTTGATTGTCCTGCATGTGCTAAAATATTTTATATTAAATAGCTGTTGGATAAAATACTGAGTTCTGGAGGCAAGGTCCAGAATTCAAGTCTCCAGCCTCTTGGTGAGTGCTGTAGATCACTATAGTTAGAACCACGTTCACTCTTGTATGCCTTTTCTTCATCCCACCAAATTTTTAAGATCTTTTTCTGTAGTGGCACAATTTCAGCAGGAAGATGATGATTTTTTTTGCCATGGTTGTCTTTCCCTGCTCCTTCCTTTCCCTTCTCATCTTTCCAAAAAAAGGAAGGTGATGAATATTGTGAATGGCTCAGTCCTTCTGTGGTGGATGTGCCCTGTTCTGTCGCTGGCTACAGTTCTGAGCCCTTAGATGTTTTATGACTGTCAGACTTACAGGCCATCGTTAAGGTAGCCAGAGAGCAAAGAGCTGCTGTCAGGAGAGTGATGTGGAAAAGTCAGGTTAACTAATGAACCCAGGCTGAGACCTAAGGGTGAAGAACAACGATTGTGCTCTGTGTTTGACTTTTCATAAGATTTCCTAATATAGATGTTGAAGGGAAAAGTGCATGCTAATGTGAAAGTAAAGCAGCAAAATTATTCTGCTGCTGCCAGAAATAATCATGGGTTAGCAGTGCTTTGTTTTCATTAGTGTAACGAATCACCATTAGTGACTTGATCTCCTGATGGTGGAAATCACAAGTTGCACTAATGAAGTCATTACAGTGAGACATATTTTTAACAAAAAAAGTGATTAATTATGAAAATAAAAATAGAGTGGAAAATAATAATTTTTCATCAGTTGGTATCTTGAAATTAAGATGAGGCACTTCTTCCTAAGAGTCATCATAGTCAGATAAGGAATAGGGTTTATTGTGGGGATACTTGGAATAAATATGGTGGCTTCAGTAATTCTAACTGCATGACCTAATGAGCTGTTCCCACA